TTCTTCTTATGATAAGGACTCCTCCACTACATTGTGCATGGTCACACATTTTTTTCAGTTCCATTTAGCAATGGACAAGAAGATCGGACAAACAAATACGCCACCCTCTAAATGAGACGTGGAATAAATATCTAAAGAGAAGGGTCAGCCGGAACAAGAGGCCGGATGATATAAGAACGTATAGTAGACTACAACCGACACAGGAGAAAGTTACATATTACACTGAACATTGCTAAGCGATTAAGAAAACTTAGGGAGAATTAGATATGAGCCGAATTTAATAGATCACCACCGCAGCTACTCTCTCAAAAACCAACCACATTTTCTTTTATGAACAATATTATAAGTTTTTAAAAATAGCCGTCTCAAAAACAAATGCTCGACACTTTATCAATTACTGTTGCAGAGGCTATGGATTTCACAATTACATATATGTCAAAAGGGGATGAAGCTGATGTTACCAAAGCTGAGCTTGATCGCCCGAGAATTAATCCTTTAGATGAAGTGGGACCGCGCCAGCAGCAGAAGAACGGGCACCGGATATTAGATGAATTGAGGAAAGCCATTTTTTGTAAGAGCAGTGGTACGGTCCAAGATATGATTTTATCTGTTTTTACAAATAAGTCTCAATAATTACAGGTTTTCTCTTAACTAGAAGGCACAAATACCCGCTGCACCACTTAAGAACACCATTTTCGGATTTCCACGGTAAAATACAACAGGAAATAATAGTAAGATTAATGATAACATTTTGCAAATAAATAGCCTTATCACAGGGAATATAAATTTAAAAATAATAAAGTATTCACCTTGAAAACTTGCATTTGCAAGCTGGTTTAATCTTTATTTAACATAGTAAATCTAAAATAAACAAAATAAAAAATGCACGGTCATGAGAAGCGATCGACGTGTAATTAACGTTAATGCAAAAATCGTCACAAGAGGGCGCACTGATAACTAGCGCCCTCTTTTGAAATTAAGCTCCAATATTTGACAATTTCGGTGGGTTACATTTTTAGATAATTGCCAGCCTAGTTTTCTGTACCCAGATATGGTATTTAAACATGCTTGATGTATTTCATAGGACATTTGACTGTTTAAAGTCCTGGAATATACCGATGTCTGGGTCACATATGGTTTTAAACCACTGTGTTGTGTGGTATTAAAATCTAGCGTGAAAGCCTAAAGCTTAGAGAAATATGCCAATTGTTGGTTTAACAATAACAGGTAAGGGAGTCCCTGAAGTGGACTAATATGTTGGAAGGGAGATTACTGGAAGTTTTACTAAATAACATATAGTTGGTTTTCTTAATGTTAAGTGACAACTTATTAACTGCAAACCAATTACAGATAGAGTTTAACTCATAATTAACTGTGTTAGTGAGAGTAGTCAAATTGCTATTCGAGATAAATAAATTGGAGTCATCAGCAAATAAAATAAATGAAAATACATCAGATGATTTAACAAAGTGTAACCGGGGAGAGTGAAATAAATAAGTTAAAATCCTGTCGACTACGCCAAGTGTAACCTGGGAGAGCGATATTTTAATTTAAATGGCTCACTCTCCTCCCAACCGAGTGGTTCCACTAATTTAAAATAATTTGGGTGAAGCGAAGTTTTCTGTTTGTCTCAACAATATCAAAATATTTTATTTACAACACAAAATGAGACAATATATATATACATATTATCAGGTATTTACAATTGAATGATAGTATATAAGAACTTTGGGTATATAGAACTTTGATATAAAAAGAACTTTGTTTGGTATATAAGAACGACAGTCAAAAGGGAAAGTATATAAGCTGAACTGTCACTCCAAGGATCTGAAATGCATAAAAACAATAAATCACTAATGAATTATGGGAACACTTTCAGATCAAAGTACATTGTTGAAGACAATAAATTCAAATTAATTTGGGGAAACACTGTTTTCCTTATTTTTAAATCAAATAATACTTTTTTTTATAAATACATTAGTCAGTGAACAAAATGTTGCATAAAAATGACTGTTGCATAAAAAGATTCGGGCATAAACAGCTTCAGGCATAAAAGAGTTAAATAACACACCTGGGATTTACTCACCACTTGGGATGATCTGCGTTCATGCCTTCCTCTCCGTGCTCAATGTTAAAATCGAAGATCGGCAGCAAAATAGACGAAAATAGTGCAGAAAACTGCAGTGCCGGCAACGCCGAATATAACATTATTTTGCTGCTACGACGGGGAGCCGCACCCACAATTTGCAGTAAAAGTGGAGAGTGTAATGCTCGTTATAAATGCTGGTCGCAAAGCAGGAGCAACCAGGCAGATAGATGTCAACCCAAAGCAGAGTTGGAACGGAATCAACAATATTTTGGACCTAGCCCTACAAGAAAACTATACGAAACACCCGGAATGCCAGCTTTCTAATTTGAACAAAGCGCGTGGAATGTTAAACTCGCCTGGTCGCTACGCCCATTTCATAGTTGAAAAAGTAGCGGGCAAAATTCTAGGAGGCGCGCGCTGTGCTAAAAAAAGTTTAGTTCGCCGCAAGAGGACGCTAGGCAAAAAGATGATCGATCATAACGTAACGCTCATGGCTGACAAAGTGACATACAAGTAATTTACTTGTATGTCACTGTAAGTTGTAAGTTATGACATGTGATGCATGATGGAGTAGGGAACCTGTCGGGTAAAAGTGTTAACGACAACCCGACCTGGTTACAAAAGTCATTAATATAGATCAGAAAAAGCAATGGGCCCAAAATTGACCCCTGTGGAACACCACATTTTAGGGCCTTACAAGTTGAATTTGAACCGCCTATAGAAACATACTGTTGTCTGTCTGAAAGGAAACTTCTGAACCACTCTAACGCTACTCCTCCATAACACCATAATAAGAAAGCTTATATAGCAAAATGTCATGATCAATGGTATCAAAAGCTTTTGAAAGATCGAGGAATATCCCCAGAGTGTGTTCAGAGTTATCTACAGCAGTTGTTACTTTATCAACAAAATCAAGTATTGCATGTGTAGTTGAATGATTACTTCTAAATCCGTATTGACAGTCGGTTAAAATATTACATTTAGTAAGAAATTGAATAATACGGACATAAACACATTTTTAAAAAGTCTTTGAAAACAGGTCAAAATAGAAATGGGTCTATAATTGATATATATAATGGGTCTACTAATGGCAGTTATAGTGCTTTTAATAATAGAAGAATTTATAAGGTCGTGACCAGAGCTTGTTTTGTTCTGTAAGTTGTTGACGATATCAATCACTTCCTGTTCAACTACTGGTTGTAAAAACAAAGACCTTGGGTTCGGATCATTAAGAAAATCAACAAATGAATCATGTGAACTTGGAATAGTTTTAGCGAAATTAGGGCCTAAATTAACAAAATAATCATTAAAGCAATTTGCAATATGAGTAAAATCATTGATTAACTTGCCTTCGTACATGATACTACTAATATGTTGAGAGGATAACTTATTATTAAGGACTGAATTTATGACCTTCCACGTGTTATGAATATTGTTCTTTTCCTTCTCAAACTGACAAACATAATATTGCTTTTTAGAATTTCGTAAGAGACTAGTAAAAATATTGTTATATTTAATATATTTAAGTTTTCGCATGTTTGTCGGATTAACAATGTAATGACATATAATTTATTTTTCTTATTAATTGATTTAGCCTTTTAACCTTTAGTTTTCAAAATCTAAGCTTTGGAAAAATAAACCCCTACTATGGTGGTACATGTTTTCACACATCAGCAGCGCCCTCTTTTGACCAATAGTGAACTGCCATTTCTCACATCCTGCGCCCACACGCGGAGTCTTCACAAAACTTCAGCAGCGGGTGGCTTTTCCCTTCTATTCCTTGGGAAAATAATAGCCACTTATCACTCTTCAACATTCAAACACGATGTAACCATGGGTCGTTTGACATTCGGGAATTAAAAATGGCCCGAATAGCGTTTAATATAACCGGTAGGCTTTTTGTTATTCTGTTTTTTTTTTGTTTGGTACATTTTGAACATAAAAACCGGAAGCCAAGGATGATGTTCGGTATAGCGGTTTTCGGTATAGCGGTGTTCCACTGTATATCTGAAGACAGCATTACCTAGTTGTCACACATTCACTTTTACGTGAACGTTTTACGTGTTTCATGAACAGTTTTCAGCCAATGAAATTTCACAATTGATTACGATCATAACACTTCTTGTACCTTACGTACAACACCTTGATCGTTCTCAATTTCAATATCCACATTTGTTACTTGTAAAGTTAAACTGCGAAGATGGCAAAAAGCTTTAATGGGTAAATCTTGATAAGTGTCAGCACTTGGTACTTTTACTTTGAATTTGACTTTTACCGAGACTGTGGTTAAATTGATTGAGCTGGGAAGATACTGTTCACAAATTTGTGATCCCATCCTTGTTTGTCATTAAGTATGACAAATTGAATGCTGCTCTCTACTACCAGTGATGATATAACACCCAAGTAAATCCTTGTCATTTGATTGGATGATTTGTAGGTCACGCGGCATTCATTAATTGAACCATTGCACGGCCTACATCATAACCTAAAAAATCACGTGGAGCATAAGGGAGGTGTTCCTATGCAGTGTGACCTTCATGCTATGTCCCAAATGTACTACATTATTGGTTTACCGACTCACACTGTTTGCATGTGACTTTCCATCTCGGGAAAATTGGCCTGGTCAATTTTAATACTGGGAAGAGTTTAGCCGGTAAAGTAACCACTGAACTTAACTTGCTTATTTTGCTCATATGACCTTGAGTTTTACACTGCACGAAAGTGTAAAGTTCAAGAAACAAAGTTTATGCACAACACTCTCGATTTCAATCATTCCTTGAAAGTTAAAATCTAGGTTGAAAAAGTGACTTGTCGACTCGTGGTCCATTGGGATAGCTTAGTCAATAAACAATGTGGTACTCAAACGGTTAACCTGATTCATTTATGATAAAGAAAAATAACAAAAACTTACTTTTCTCCAAAAGCATTTGATGCACCAACAAGTACCTGTCAAGTGAGACATTTAAAACTTGAGGTTAATCTATTTACATGTAAAATGTACAGGACAGTTGAAATGTACTTTATGGATGTGTGCATATCTTGAATTTGTTTTAGAAGATCCCTAATGCGGTTGTCACATGCTAAACGTATTAATAGCATCATTCATTGGTGGAAAGTTCTGACATGTAGCAATGGTATGGAGACAGCATGCAGGAAGTTAGTCATTCTTGATTTAACCTCTGATGGAAAAAAAAAGGCAACATTTTCAGAAGAATCTACAGCCGTTCTGCTGTCTTCAATGATGTTTTTTTCCCCCAATCATTTTTTATACCATTGTCAGTGCCTGTATTGGTGGAATCCAAAGTTAGGTTTTAAAACCCTTTTCTCCATCAAGATTGTTCAGTAACACAGTTACTTTTTAGATTACCTTTTTAGCATGATGACCGGCCTCTCACATTCTAGCCTATTTTACATGGCATGGCATAGGGAATTATCATAATAATAATAATAAACAAGTCAGGTGTGTTTACAAACACAAATGCCCCGCAACTGTGACTGTTCCCATGACATAACGCCACTCTAACATCAACTTATGTACCTTGGTCACATGGAACGTTCATTGACAGCATTAGTGTCTTCTGTAGGTTTTATATGAATTAATCCCTAATCCCTATGATCTCAGAATAAATACAAGATTTTTATTGTTTTAGCCACTGTGACCTTGACCCTTGACCTTTCGACCCCCAATGCGAAAGGCCTATTTGGATTACCAAGAACGATCCACAAACCAAATATGAAGTTCACATGTAAAGTATTTCTCAAGTTATCGCGCTGACAAAATTTCTTTTGTTTTAACCACTGTGACCTTGACCCTTGACCTTTTGGCCCCAAATGCAATAGGCTGACAAAATTTCTTTTGTTTTAGTCACTGTGACCTTGACCCTTGACCTTTCGGCCCCAAATGCAAAAGGGTTCTTAGGATTATTAAGAACAATACACAAACCAAATTTGAAGTTCATATGTTAAGTATTTCTCAAGTTATCGCGCCGACAAGATTTGTCCGGACACACACACACACCCACGCACCCACCCACCCACACACACACCCATACACCCACCCACCCACCCACGGAAGGACAAGGCGGAAACAGTATGCCCCTTCGGCTTCGCCGTGGGGCATAAAAACATAATAATACTTTGGGAGGCTGATTATCCTTACTCCGAGCAGAGAAGCTGAATTGCAAATGCAAAGGATGCGGCTACCACATGGTCGAGCCGCAGGCATGTAAAGGCACCTTTGGCAGCCAGCCATACGACCCATATATGATCACAGAGTACAGTCGGAGATCAAAACTGTTTGATTTTTTTTCAGAGGGAGGAAACAAGAGAAAAAACCCTTGTGCCACAGGAGAGAACCAACGCACAACTCTACTTACGAATGGTCCTAGCCGGGAACAAACCAGGGCCACAGTGGTGAGAGGCGAATGCTTTACGCACTAGCCACCCATGCCCACAATCGCAAATAAAAACACTGCTTCAATTAGCAGGCAAGCATAGCGTATATGTAATGCTTTGTGATATACATGTAATGTGCGTAGAGGGGGGAGGGGGTTTGGAACCACTGCGTACGCCATACTACAGGGGATGGGGGGGGGGGTCTAAAACGTTGGCATTTCGTGCGTACATACTTTATGGACGGCCCCAAAGTCTTCTGAACTGAGGTGTCACAAGAAACAATGATCTTCAAGGGGAAACTCCTCAGTGAATGGACAGCTGATGCTGCCAGGGGCCAAATGAGGCTGAATCATTACTGATATTATAGACACTGTCATCATCAGGATTCAGGATAGGGACTGAAGTCTGAGAGTTTATTGGTTAATCAAGTGCCTTAGACAACAACTGCGCGTCAAGTATTTTTGGATGCATTTAAGCACTTTTTATTTTTAAATTTCAATCAGCAACTAATCAAAAAGTTGTCTTGAATCACAGAATGGTTATGTCACAATATATGCAACCTGGTACCAGCAATTTCCGGTCAGGTAGTGGGTATCTGGGAAAATACCTTGTACTGTACTGCTAGAGGGAGTTTTAGGAATGTAAGGCCAAAACCAACAAAATTGTGTTGCCCTCATCTGACCGACCCAAAAATATGGATTTATTATTTTTTTCATTAGAATTTTTTTTTTTTTTTTAACCTTGACAGTTACTGTTTCTTTGCCATTCCATAATTTTGCATTTCGTTACAAAACATACATACTTGAATGGTAGCACAGTTCAAATTTACCATTTGGGGCATGTGGTGAGATGTACTGCATACATTGTATACATACATACACTGTACTCAGTATAGTTGGCATGTGCAGTACATGTAGCCTTAACGTGTCGTGTACATTGGTAGAGAGGAACTGGTAACCGAATAGAATAGAAGGGTAGGCCTATATGTGAACTATGAATACCCTCCCCCCCCAAAAAAAACAACAATCCCCAACTGACCGACCCTCCTGATATTTTTCAAATGAGGGCAACGCAACAACTGGGTTTTTTTGGTGTAATGTCCAGCAACAGGCTCCCTTCTTCTTTGTGCATTGCTTATCAAGCAAAGAGTTTGAGCAAAGAGAAACTGCATGCTGGTGTGAGAAGTACATTGTACCGTACCTATGTGCGGTACGGTTCAATGTGTTCTGTGAAGTGATAGATACGTTACTTTTATAACTGTCATAATATAAAACTCACTTTATAATGAGCTTCTATGAAATTCACAATGACTTTGACCAATTAACACATTTCTTGACATGTTTACAGCAGCAATCATAAATTACAATGCATCATCCCAAATGTTGATGTATCATTGTTTTGGGATAAAATCAACCCATTTCCCCTAACAGGTTGCCAAACAGTGACTTTATAATCACATTCAGTTCCCCTTAACACTGAATTACTTACAATGGACAGTATAGCAAGAGCAAATGACTTGGAAAACGCTAATCCAGATATTCCTGTGGTGCAAAAAAAAAAAAAAAAAAAAAAAAAAAATAAAGAGGATACTCAATATCAGTTTGAATTGTCTTGTTGCAGAATGTTCAGAGACAGGAATACAATATTGGTCTTGCATGCAATTCAGTCTTGAATGACTATTATTTGTTCTCGCACACATTTTTGGTCTAATATTTTGATCTGATCTTATCCATACAAGCATCATTGCATTCTTGGTACACATGTGCATGTATGGTGTATGCAAGAATACATGTTCCTCATTATACATGTACATACATTCAGTATGTCATAACAAGAGAACAATGATGGACATGACATTATTGTTACAAAATGGCGATTGTTAGTAAAAACTGATGTGAAGTTTCAACCCGATCAGATTAATCATTCTTGAGATTTAGTGATTAGGGCAATTCTCCGGAAATTGAAACCAACTTAATTTTGGGGGAAAAGAGATTTTTTTTAATGTGATGTACACATATAATACAAATGATTACTGTTCACCAAAGTGTTGCTAGCACATGTAAGTAAAGATGCAAATTTCTTAAGATGTTTCATACGTTGGCCTTTCTGTGCATAAATTTGCATAATTTAAATTACAAAATGTCACACACACGACTGATCCAAACTAAAGCGGTTCCATTGAAGACAAATTAGAATTCTGCGCAGCGTCCTGCATTCTTCGCTGTGTGCTCATGGCGTCCAATAAGTTCGTACGACGTTCTTGGAGTCCTTATCGCGCGCTCGATGCGACCTTAAAACGTACGTGTGACGTCAGCAGCCAGAAGTGCGGCATGTATATTAACTTGGGCCAAAATGGGCATTTGTCATTGAGTCTTCACATTTTGAACAGCAAAGACGCAGGAGACTTGGAGGTGACGCACTGTCCTGATGCACGCACATCCGTGGAGTTCTCACGACGTCGTTTCTGTCTGCCTGCGCATTGCCAGTACGTCACGGCCATTCGCGAGGAGTTAGCGCAGAGTCCTGACCGCATTCTGGTCAAAACGCCGAGGTGTGGCGTTTGTTTTGTGCATTTCCAAAATGAACGTGGCAGTTTGGCGTTCAGCGAAGTCCTTGGAGTCCCTCTGAAGTCCCAAACCAGTATCAATGAGTCCTCACGCCGTCATCTGCGTTGCCATTGCATTTTACTCAAGTTTCTTGGTCGCGGTACGAACTCCATGCCTGAACTTGACAGTGTGATAGGGCCTTTAGAACTTTGGAGAAAAGCTTGAATTTCTGGTATGGGCCAGATAACATTTTTACGTCTGATGTCACACACATGACCAAACATCAATGACCCCTCCTAATATTTTGACACAATTTGTGAAAGTCAAAAATATACAATGAGGTACGGAGTAAAATGTATTAACCTGATGAATCATTGAAAGTAATAGTCAGATGTAGTTAATAAGGGGTAAAGCTTCAAAAATCAGACAAGCCCAATTTTATGTCACACAGTTACCAAAGAAAAGGCCCACTAAATGATTTTATTTTACATTTCCAGTAACACCGGAAGTGAAGATCATGTTGTTTTCTTTTAAATTGCAGTATACATGCACCTTTTCACAATTTCAGTGCAATGTCATAAAAGTTTATTGTGATCATGACTTATTGTCTCGTTGACATATAATGTACACAATAATTGCCAAATTAATATATTCACGATGTCATAAAAAGAGAAAAAAAATAATATCATCAAGACGTCCCTTTTTTTGGGGGGGGGGGATTATATTGCATTGTTCTTTGACATGTACATGTACAAAGTTTAATTCCAACTAGAATAAAGCCAATGCTATGCAAGGGAAGTGAAATATAAGCACTCTGAAAAGGCACTGGAATAATAATGATTAGGTTTTGAATTGTCAGCTGCTGCATCGATATTCTGAACAGAGTCTTTCAACTGTTTACTAAATGATAGAATAGCATTTTGTTGAAAAGAATGTCCGTGCCAAAAAAGTGACGTTGAACCATTCTTGAAGATGTGCTGTTGAAACATTATCTGAGTACTGTTTGCAGTATCTGAGTATTATTCTCAGACAACTCAAAAAACAACACATTGAAGCAATGACTTGACTTTTTGGCATAGTTTTTGAGCTACTATTTTATTTGTCCTTGGTCAATGTTTAACTTGATTAAATATCAGTGAATACCTTGATAAACTATAACGGAACAATTAAAATTAAGTTTTGATTTACTTAAAGTTATTTGCTTAAACATTTTGGCACGCTTGCCATTAAACTGGGCACGCTTGCCCCTCCTTGCCATGCTTGGCATCACTGGGCCCAAAACCTTGGCACGCTTGCCAACCATTCACTAGCCCCACCAGAATAAACGGGTGCTAGCCAAAGTGTTTTTAATTTTGTCACGTGACTCGAATATATATGCAATAATTACTTAATAAATTGGAAAGGTAGCCGATTTGTCCCACCACTCGTAGAGACGGTTGGCATGCCCATCAGTACAAATGGGTGCTTGGCATACTTTTTTACAAAGAGTAAACACAACCTGGTAAATATTTAACGTCCAAATTCAAAGTCTTACTTAAGAACTTTTTACCCAACTTATTTATTTAGTTTGAATTGAGGCACTGCCAGTTGCTCCCAGCCAATTCCTGCCATTTATAAATTCATAAAACATGGAGGGTGAAGGGGAGAAGGGGGTTTATTTTTGATGTGGCGGTCTAAAAAAACTAAGCCGAACTGGTTTTTCTTGCCCCATATGCACGTAGCACGTCTGTGCACGCGCGTGAACTTATTACATTTGCATCACCCTAGAAAAAGTACCAATTTTTAAGCCTTTGAACATCGTTTTTTGGCTTCATGTCATCAAAGGGCGGCCAGCTGCAATTAGACCAATCGATATGTTTACTTTTGTTTACTTTCCTACACCATAGCAACCATCAGCTGATAAAATAGAGTTTGGGACTCAACCGTGTGTTTGTGGAGAATAATGTATCTTATCTTTCAGTGATAAAATGAATTGTTTGCATCATCTGTGCATTGTTGTGGCTGCTAGGAATGTCTGTACTGAATCTGGGTAATAAAATTTCCCAATTTTGTCTGCATTTCATTGCACAGTCAGCACTAATTAAATGTAGTTTATCAGTGTCAGGCAGCACATTTTAGTTGATCAGTGGCTGTGCATATCTCTGTATGCTTCAGAATGTAAAGTGCGAGCATCCAATTAATTAATGAGTGGATGATGTGAACTCTCAGTGTGAGAAGTTTCAACTCTCTACGGCACACAAAATGCACGCGAAATGCATAGCCGGACAGATAGACAGACAGAGTTGAAGGCCAGGGTCATTATCAGACCCCAGACTCAAAACCGGTCTTAAATTTATTTAATTTATTCCCATTCAAAAATACCTTTTCAGTCAAACAGTCAAAAAAAGTCAAAAATTATTAATTTCCAACAACTTTGTTCAAACACCCCACTAGCTATGTTATGGTATATATGCCTCTCGCAAGTAGTCGTAAACTACTTATATGGAGATTAGGGTGCACATTGCGTGTACTGCACGAGTGGCACAGAATGCAGCTGTTCCAGTGCAGTGTGAATTTACATGTAGGACTATGAAATACACTCATTGGTAGTGTTGCACATGCCTAACTGAGGATTAGGTCAACCAATAAATTGGAATGTCAAAACAACTAAAGTTGCTGCGGACGTTCACACGTTATCATCTGGATACATAAACACACACTTTTAGAAGCTCTTTGCAGGACCTATTGACGTGCCAGAACAAACCCAGCCACACCACACTGCTGCTGCTTTTTAATACAGCACAAAAAAATATGTATTTTATACATATTCGAAGTGAACATTCAAAATTAGAGTGTTTTATCAAAATCGCTTCTCAACAACACTTGGACGGGAAAACTGTCAAAATGACTGATTTGGTATGGATGATGATTGAGAGAACATGAATCATTGCCAAACCAAATGCTAAAAAGCATTTTCGCCAATGTTGGACGTCGATGTTAACTGCAAGTTTTGGGCCTCCAAGTCCTTGAGTACTTGTCTAAACTGTTTCCAGCCAAATAATAACTGGAACGGTGTGAGGAACGGTGTGAGGACCGGGAACAAGCTCGTAATTCAACGACAACAATGTGAAATGTGTCACCCAGATGTTATTGAAACAATCTAAAACTGAAGATTTCAGCAAGTAATGTCACAAAATTGAAATTGTTTTTCTGTGTCCATATTTTTTTCTGATTTCATGTATTTATTTCAGGCTGAAAAGTCAGATTTTGAATGTTCATTCCCGAATTCACGAATGGTGACAACTTGCAGCATACATTTTGTTGTCATTGTTTTTTTAATGTACATGTACATGACTTGAATATCCTTCATTTTAAGTTGATTCTGTTAGCCTAAAATATTGCGTTGTTTTAGTTAGAATTCATAAATACCTGAAACAGTTTACCCATTCCTATTGGTCGAGACCCCGGTAAAACACCACTGCGTTCTGCGTCATATCGCGCAGTACGCACCACACACACCAATCTCCATATAATCAGATTTTAGCACTATGCGGGCAAGGCTCATACCATAGACATGGAAAGAGGGGTGTTTCACAAAACATGATGAAAAATTGTTGAACAAAATTGTTGGAATTTTGTAAATTTTTGACTTTTTGACCTAAAATCAGACACCAGTGCATTACACTATGTATGTCATTTGCCTGTATGTGTCTCATGTAATCATGTGTCATTCAATTAAACCAGATAAATGTGGAAACAATTTGAATTCAGATTTGAATAATTAAATCATGTACTTGTACAAGTCCTGACACTACACTTACCTGAAAGCATAATGACACTGTTTGCAAAGAATCGAGCACCATAAGGCATGTTGAACAATAGAAAGGCATTTATATCTGCAAAAAGAAGGAACAACAAACAAATATTCAAGCAAACGGTACAAATAAATGTATTGCTCCAAACTTCTTCACATTTGTGAATTCCCCCCAAAATAGACAGATCAGAAAAGTTTGGCAACCATCAAAATTCCCCCCCCAGGGGGGGGGGGGGGGGGCGATTCTACTACCGAATAATTACCTGTAGAGTATTTCTACATATGCATTATTCCCTAGAGGGTGCTAGCCATTCACTAAGATTTATTACCCACAGTACCTTGCGGCCCGCCCGCCATACTTCCTCTTTTCTCGAGCGTAAGGTGCATAAGTGAACGCGTACATGAGAGTGGGGAGGGGGTGGGCACTCTAGGGTAAGTATTCGCTAGTAGAACTGGCCCACAGCTTGGTGGGGGGGGGGGGGGGGGATTCTACTACGCTCTACTTACCCGTAGAGTATTACTACATATGCAGAGTAGCACTGTATTAGGACACAAGAGTGTATGATGTGGAAAGTGGGCCGCATGGAAGCCTGAGCCCAAAGCCAACAAGATTAAACCCACTAAAGTAAACCAGAGGAATCAGCTATTACTATAATCAGGTAAGCCGTCACTGGTCGGTACAGCGGGCGCCAGTGGAGGAGGAACCAGATCCGGTTGCGCCGCTGGGGCAGTAGGGAGGACTACACACGGTTCTGCCATCAACTTGCAGCACATTCCTGACATAACAGCAGATGAAGGTGTTGGAGGATTTCCAACGTGCCCCTTGCATGATATCTGCAAGGGGTACTCCTTTGAAAAATGGCCCAAGAGGTCGCCATGCTGCGAATTTTGTAAGCATGTACTCTGTCCAGGATAGGCCAGTCTGATGATGGGAGTTGTATGGCCGTCACAACCCGGCGAGCGATTATATCATGGGTTGAGGGGCGATGCAGTAAAACCGTGGTTATAAACAGATCCTGGTGGTTACCGCGGATCAGTGCAGTCTGATGGAGGTACATATTACCACTTGAGGGTCCAGACAGGACACCAGAGGTTGTCCTCTGTGATGGAGAAGGACCATCCCAAAACCTCAATGTACAGTTGCAATTGCAGAGCGATAGCTCTGGACAATGAGAACCACAAGAACCCGATTAGTAGAAGAGAAAAAAATAATTGCCAACTTTGGTTGTAGCCAAGGGATCTACCGTACGCCGTACGGACCATTTATAGAAATGACATAATTGGCTGTCGCAAACAATTTGAGTTGACTGACGCCAACCATGGGCTGCAATGGAGGCAGCCTCTTGAGAAGGCAAAGGAATGGTAGACAAGGCGGACAAGTCATGAAAACCACGGCTGTCGGAGCCAAAATGAGGTAATCAAGGGGCCTTGCAGGGATCCTGCTCGATCTTCCCAAGTACTCAGGTTAGTAGGGAGATTCGAGGAAAAAGCGTAGGCAAATAAGTTGGTCCACGCAAAGGGGAGGGCGTTAGCATGCCACGCCCTTGGCTCCGGGGATCTTGAACAGTACACCAGGAGCTGGTGGTTGAGTAATATTGTGAACAGATCGATATGCGGACGGTTAAATTGTGATAAGATCGTCTGCATGACCAAGGTTCGGAGGGTTCATTCCATGGGGCGAATCCAGTCCCGGGAGAGTGCATCGTCTGTGGTGTTTTCCGTGCCCACCAGATGGATCTCTCTGAGACAGATGGCATGCTGGCGACACCGATGCCGTAAATGCCACATTGTGTTGGACAACAGTCACCGCAGGTGACAACAGATTGACCCTGCACCATGCTGTAAACGCGGTGAAGGGTGATAAGACTGCTGTCATTTTGATAAAATTGATGTGGAGGGTGGCCTTTGCTGAAGTGCAGAGCCCAACCATTTGGTGAGATTCCATCCGCATGCCCCAACCCAGCTGAGACGTATCTGTCGTGATCATCATGGTCGGATGAATGGGCTGGAAAGACCCTGACTGATCTAGTCCAGTTGGATCCGCCACCGGGGATGCGGCCGGGTATTCTGTGAATACGGTATCACGTGGGAAACAGGATGGAACCATGTCAAAATAAGAAAAAATAATAATACCGGTGCTTATATAGCACATTTGCAAATTAATGATCAATGCGCTTTACAAACAAAATTAGAGTTGATGAATTTTATGGCTCGATGAATGGACTGCAAGGGTTGGATCGAATGTACATTGGGTTCTTTTAGTGAAATGTTCTGACTAGGCTGCAAGAATCGCCTTGGGTGGTGTTTACCCCCTCTTCTGCCTCTTCTTGTGGGTTGCTTTGATTGCAAACCAAGGGCCTTTATTTTGTGCCATACCTCAGTGGGCAGTCTCACTTCCATTGGAACTCTCAGCTGGAGCAATTGTAATCTTGTTAGGCTCATTGTTGAATGGCTCACCAGGGCTTTGTTGCAAACAATGGAACCAGATGATAAAGACTGGTGGAATGTGTTAATCATTTGCAGCCATCCGAAAAGTAACTGGCGTAATTATTGTTGAAAAACATACTTGGTTGAAAGATAGTAAGGGGACTAAACTCCCTGTGAAATTATTCTTTCTGGCAAGCTGTCATTTTGAAGTAATCAACGAAAGAAGGCCTTTCCAATGGTGCGTCTTAAGACGCGCCGTAGGAAAATTTAAATTAGTAGTTCGTTTTGTTATTCGGCGAAACGTGCGCAAGCATTGGCATGACGCACACGCGGGCGTGGTTGCTATAATTCGTCGGATCAGTGTGCGACATCGCGTATAGCTACAATCAGCTCAGTGAGAACGTGTCTCGGACGCTGAATTCAGGCCCAATTCAAAACATGATTCAGCAACTTATGATTTGAAATTGAGATCCTAGAATGCTGTTTTTCTCGGAATATACAGCTGAAGCTGAGCTGAAACTTCATCAGGTTAGTTGTTTAGTATCCCTCATTAGATTTTGAACACTTTTGTTGCTTCAAACGAACAAAATGCACAAATTACAAATGATGGACTATATCTTTATGTACTGAGAACAATGCAAACAATAGGACTGTTGCCCAGAGAAAGCCACGGATGGCTTGTGATGTAAAACTGCACAGTCAACTTGCCATCATTCCCAGCAAACTGGATCGAAAATCCAAAATTACTGCATTACTTGACAACCAGGATCAGCCGAAATGTTCCAGCGGTGTCTATGGATGATATCCAGTACTTTGAAGGAAAATCACAAATCCACAAGCACTATTTCCACCAGAAATCCAGAAAGTGTAGGAGCAAAAGAAATGGTGTGTGCTGCCCATTCAAGCGCACTACAAGCGCCCCAGAAGGGGACCAGAAAATAGAGTTGAAGCAGGCGCATGTACAGGCAGCTTAGCGGACCAAGTGCAAGAGGTTCGCCAGTAGGCCAAGGGGGAGGCACATTGATAAACATTGGCGGAGAGCCCCTGCGTCGGGTAAGCCCATAGAACTGTATTAAATTACTAACTCCACGTACAAAGTAACGCCTGATGGGCGCATCCATGTTTGTGCACACACCTATGGAAAACTCGAAATTTTGTACGGCTTTTGTACGGCTATTTGCATATCTGCATTTGTATTCCATACCAGTGCGTCATCGAAGCTGATACGCCCGAAACCAAAACATACGATCAGCAAAATGAGCGGGTTTTTTTTTTTGCTCTACGCAAACAGCGCAACGTGTGGGCGTCCCTCCGCTGTAGATGCTTTTCGCTGTGACGTTTTTTAACCGTCATGACGTGCTTTAGTTGTTTGCGTATCTTCTACTTGCGCGTTGCATGTAGAGTACACTTTTAAAAATTCAATCCATCTATTTTGAAAGTGTTCTTCAAACACGCACATAAATTCAAACTGTCTGTGCCCGGAGCGGCTTCAAAGCGTCTTCGCGCAAGAATGAGGAGTTAGCGCTCTAGTAATTTAATATAGCTCTATGGGTAAGCCGTGTCCCATTGTACATGTAGATCGAGGACGACACCGAAAAAAGTGGGCCGTTGGGACGGGATTTGGACTTATCGATGGAAAATCCAGGACCTTTGGAGATTGAGCAGGTCTGACGGACTGCGTAAGCCGTTAATGCCCGCTATTTGTCGATGATAAATCTGTCGTTGAGGTTTATTATTATCTATAAACCTTGACGATGGAGGGCACTGGCCAGTGTCTTCACAATTCTGGTGAAGACCCCGAGTCTGGCAGATGAGTGTGGCAGGTGAGAGTGTTTGACAAGGGGGCACTCGTGAACTCCAGGCAGTAGCCGAGTGAGACGGTGTCGAGTACCCACCAGACTGAAGTGATTTGGTCCCAGTACCCGTTCGAAATGGGTCAAACGGGTTCTCACAGGTCCCGTGAGGGGGGTTGGGGACGTTGTTGTCTGTGGGCATATTCACTTCTGCCAGCCGAACTGTGGCTGAAAGGCGGTGGTAGAGGCTGCTGAAGGACAGATGGTGGCCCGTGAATTTGCAGGGTGACGAGCAGTGGAATGAAAACCACTGCTTGACGGCTTTGGAAGAGGGGAAGACAGTTTTGGACGAACCTTCATCAAAGTGATCTTAGCAGAAGCAGTCTGACAAAAAGCCGGCAAAGAGGTCTCGCCCTTGGAAGGAAGGGACTCGAGACATTTGCGAGTTCCATCAGAGGGTAGAAATACGGCATCAAGAATGGCTGCCCGTCGTGCCTCTGATGCCGTGACAGCAAACTCGAGTAAGTTTACTGAGAACTGCCGAGAACAAACCTGATCAACAGGAACCCCAGGGATAGGATAGAGGGTAACTAGTGAGTCAAGAGCAGTTAGTCGTTTTAACGATCTCGGCTGTGTAGTAGGAGTGGGGCTCACAGAACCCCAATACGTGCACCATGTCTCCTACTAGGTGATAAAGCGTGGTCATGGAGGCTGGCATAGTTGTGTCCTCTTGTTCGGCCAAACGAGGTGACAGAGGAGAGGAAACGTCCTGGGCAAGGGATTCAGACGGCGAGTCTGTAGGAGTGCCGAGAAAACTATGGGCAAACACCAACACGACTGGTGCGTTGGGAGGACGGAAGAAATTTGTGTGGGGTATGTTAGGGTTTGTTTCTGGCCGGGGCTGAGAAGGAGACGACGAGCCTGGATCAGCCACAGCAGTCTGCTTGGAGAAGGCTGCCAAGGTTTCTGACTTGTATATTGGTCAATACACTGCTGTGAGATCACAAAACTGCCAGTAAAAATAACGTGTTCATTTTGTAGGCAAAAGCACCCAAAATTCGGTGCAGCTTTGCTAACAGCGAAATATCACGCTGTCTGGTCAGTAAGTTGTGGTGTGGCAGTTAACAACTTTCTGTCAATGCGAAGTCTCGCACGTTGATCAATATACACCAATGTGAAAATAAAACTGCTGGTTAAAAAACGGTGTTCGTTTTGAAGGTGAAAGCACCAAACACGTTCGGTGCAGCTTGAGGGATTTGATAAGTAGCAAAATATCATGCTGATGGGTCGGTAACTTAGTAGTGTAGGTAAGGGGTGAGCGGCTTGCAACTAGTGCGATGCTCGTCCCATGCAAAGTCTCACTCGTTTGACACAGCAACACAGCTGTGAGACAAGAAAAGCTGCTGGTTAAATAATAGCGAAATCCCGGTTATGACGAACGAGCGTATATAGTGAGTAGCCGGCAGCCTGTGAAAGGCCTCACTTGCTCCGTACGACGTGAGCTACTTGCAGCCTGTGCGAAACCTCACGTAAATAGTGGTCGTGTAAATAAGCTTAGCAATGCAACGTACAGCCTGTGCGAAGCCTCACTAGTTTGGTATGGCGTGAAATACTTGCAACCTGTGTGAAGCCTCATGGACACGGTCTCGTAAGGACCATGTAACAGGAGTGAGGAACCGGCAATCTGTGCTGTGCGAGAACTCACTCCCGAAAGGTAAACGTAACAACCAAGAAATATCACCAAAAAACGACCAAAAAGTTACAAAAACTCACTGAACTTGTAAGAACAACAACAGATAACTACTGGTACTTGAATAAAAATCATGAACTTAGCTATTTTGAATGGTTGAGGAAAGACTTACAGTAATTTTCGGAATATAAGCCGCGGCTTATACGTTGAATTTGTCCATGAAAATGTTTACTGCGGCTTATACACAGGGCGGCTTATACGCCGAGACTTGAAGAATAAAAATGATATTCAAATGTATTTTTAATGTACTGGTATAAGAAAAGATCTGTTGCTGAAATGAATCATCAATTAAAAAAGTCATTAACAAGCCGGCAAAAGCACGTCCCACGAAAATGTACCGAACGGTAAAAAGTACGGCGAGTGAAAGCTGTCTCTTCAACCATGCTTCGACATCGGCCGTACGTGATACAAGTGCTGCATGCATGCTGCATGCATTCCCCATGGACCACACCATTTGTGGTAATAAAGTTGTGTACTTTCTTGGGAACAATAATTACCAATATTTCCGCCGTTTAAAAAAAGAAAAAAAAAAAAAATTCTTTTTATGGAGTTCGAAACATTTCTTTATTCGATAATCAGTTGTTCAATGTCACAATTTAATTTGTTTTCCTGAAGTGTATTCAAGAAACAATGTAAAACTCAAAACAGGGGCTAAATCACGCTTAACAAAATTAATGGATTCGTCCATAAAAATTTCAGCATCGTGGTTACTGTTTTCGAAGAAAGTTACGATCGAAACTTGAATTTTTGATGAAACTACTCGTTAGTAATCACAACAATTTGATACGTTTTGTTGTAAAAACGGGACAAAACAAATCAGCGTCTGTTGCCACAAAGCAGGATTTGTAGCGCTCCAGTCAGACGACACACGGTGGGTTGCATACTCTCTCAAGTGCTGCGGGAAAATGTTATCATTCGTCGGCGCAGGCTGTCGGGCCATGCACTAACGTTTAGGGCCGGGGACCGGATGGGTCAGCCAGCAGCAATTCCCTTTTTTATTTCTCATCATCAATTTCCATATTTGTTTGTAAGAGTATCGACTGTAAATGATTTGATATAACTTTGTGGCCCTTTTTTATAGGTTTCATAGTGTAACTGGAACTGGTTCAGAGCATTTTGACAAGAATTTGGAGGCCTTACAAAATTGAAATCGCTGCGGTCGGTGCGGCTTATACACTGGTGCGGCTTATACGCCGACTTCAAATCTTAATTTGCAGATTTTTGCGTGCTACGGCTTATACTCCGTGCGGCTTATATTCCGAAAATTACGGTAGAATTAGCAAACAAAGAGCTCCGTAAATATATGTCTGTCACGTAGCACTGCTAAGAGAAAAGAGGAAGTATGGTTCTGTAGATGCATTAAAATGGACGATTGATAAATGGACAAGCAACAAAATATTAAGGCAAAGGGTTATCAATAGTTCTTGATAATCACTTACTTTTGACCACTATTGTTGCTCCATTTCCAGCTCCATATACAGTTGCCACAAAACTGCTTTCATTATAGCTGCAACCCCAAAAAAGAAGATAAAAGTTCAAATGAACATCAATTTTACATTTATAGGTGACTTAGTCATAAGGCAAAAAAACCTGTTGTGTTTCCGGTAACATCGCAAAACAAAAAAAAGGGTCGGTTGGGTTGGTCGGCATTTTTTTTTTTTTAATGTGTTAATGGTATGTAGCTGTGCATCAATGCAAGTATGTATTTTCATGTTAATATAAAGATAGATAATGTCCTAAGAACAACTTTTTATACCTGTATCAGGGCTCAAATTAGCGGGAGCAAGTGATTACAATGCGCCAGTAATCTCCAAAATGTTCATGTTAAGCTCTGATGTCAAGAGACTGCTCGTTTCACAATGCAGACATTTCTGACGTATTTCATTTGCATCACACAGGCTATCGAAAGTGACAGACAAAAACTTGCCTTAATTAATATAGAAATTTAGTTAAAGCTATAGTCCATCATTTGCAGCCATCCGAAAAGTAATTGGCATAATTTTTGTTGAAAAACATACTTGGTTGAAAGATAGTAAGGGGATTAAACTCCCTGTGAAATTATTCTTTCTGGCAAGCTGTCATTTTGAAGTAATAAACAAAAGAAGGCCTTTCCAGCGGTGCGTCTTAAGACGCACCATAGGAAATTTAAATTAGTAGTTCTTTTTGTTTTTCGGCGAAGCGCGCGCAAGCATTTGCACGACGCACACGCGCATGCAGTTGCTATAATTTGACGGATCAGTGCGTGACATCGCGTATAGCTGCAATTCAAAACAATTCAAAACATGATTCAGCAACTTTTGATTTGAAATTGAGATCCTAGAATGCTGTTTTTCTCGGAATATACAGCTGAAGCTGAAGCTGAGCTGAACACTTTTGTTGCTTCAAACGAACAAAATGCACAAATTACAAATGATGGACTATATCTTTAAGGTTGATGATTCTTAAGAAAAACGGAGAAGTTCAGTCTTGCACACCAACATTCTCAACGTTACTCACAACGGCCGCTGGTTAACTCCAGCCATATTGCTGATACCAGCGCTGAATTTTGTTAATTTGATGTACTTTTTATAGGTAAGGGGTGTGGAATTTACCCATGGGTAATATGACTACATTGCGCTACTACCGAACCCGGACAGTAGGAATTTTGGTCAATTTAATGTGCTCTGATAAGGGATGTTAAAATTACCCATTGGTAACATTGGGAATGATGCTTACACATGCATGTTACTTTGAAGCTTTCTCATAGAATCTGAGGGATAATATTTTTGATAATTGAACACCCCTGTTAAAAGCTAAAATGTTGGCCTAAAATACTGTAATTCATGCAAAATTTCATTTTTTTAAATCAGGTTAAGTGAGTGCGCAAATGTTGCCTATGACAAAATTTATGTTGGCACCTTGCTTTCTTCTGTTGTAAAGCTACAGACTTGCATTGTCAATCACCTCAATGTATTATTTTGCTTACTCTTTTCATCCGTTAAACTGTTTGTAGCCTTGAAAATATTGTCAGTCACAGACTGAAGATTTTTTACTTTGCCCTACTTTGAGCAATGTAGAAATGCGGCTAACTAGCTATGAATATTATTCCCACTTGCCCGTGTTCAGTAGAAGCGCAATGTGGGAATATTGGCAGTCGGTAATTTCTACAGCCCGTATCTATTGCAAATTACATCACAATTGCCCGTAATTCCCACTTTACCCAGGTTCAGTAGTAGGGTAATTCCATGGTTTGATGGATATGGCTAAGAAAAAAAAAGGTTATATTTTTTAACCCAGTTTCACATTTATATTACAGATTATACATTCAAGTATGAGAAATTAACAAAGGAAACCAAATTTTATCAAGCATTTTTTGAGAAATCGTATCGTAAAGTGAACAATATTTTTTACAACAAAGAACTAAAAAAAAATTGGTAAAGTCTAAACATTGATTGCTATTAAGGCAATTAGAGATATTTCAATCATAACCTTATTTCTAGCATGTATGATAGTCTTGATCTCTAAAACATATGTCAATTCACAGCCGTCATCCATTTTTAGATGTCAAAAAGTAGCATTTTACACCTTTTTTTGGTCCATGTAACGTGAGTAACCGAAAAGATTTAAAAAAAAATTCTCACCAACATTTCTAATGAATTAAAGTTTGGTATTTAGGATTATCATTCTTTGCATGAACATAGACATAAATATAAGTACATTGTTGACACTAATACACACATTTAAAAATAAAAGGCAACTAAATTTGGTAACGTGAGTAACAAAAAATGTAACGTGAGTAACAAAGTTTATTATCCCAAGTCACTTAAACTATACCCAAACTGACTTTTGCTTGATGATGTTGATTTTGGTGATAACTGTTCATCTTAAACCAAAGAACCTCAAGCATTAAAAATACTTTTAAGCATATTTTATCCTGTTTATAGTGCGAAATGGTCTTTGAGACAGCATAATTTTTAAATTGAAACTAATTACAGTATTTTATCAAGTGTTTATGATGTTTAATGGAATAAGGAAGACACCTGTATGTCCCTACATTGAAATTAAAATGTTTATTTGGAACAGAAGCAAAATTTGCATTACATGTAGGCACTTGACACTAAGCTACCAGTACATTGGTATGCCCTGGATTCCCTGGAACCCACTCTCCACATCATGGTCTCTGATAGTGTGGCCTTCCCATGGACCCAATATTCTGTGCTATAGTGGCATTTATATAACCGACATACAGATCCTTGTCATTTGATTGGTGGAACTCACATCACGTGGCATTCGTTATTGCTCCCATTCATGCCGCGGCTCAAAAAGTACTATCCGCCCATGGGGAATGGGAAATACTATTCAACAGTTAGGATCATGACGCGGTATTTGTGTGCAAATGCATGTTGGTGAGCGCGTTCAGCGTTGCGCGTAGCGTGTTACAAAGAGCCAGCGCTACAGCGTTGGGTTCAAACATTTTTCGTGAAGGGGTGGTTTGGAAGAGAGAAATACATTTTCCTCCAATTTTGTATTGAAAAAAAGTTCAAATATATAAAATGACAAGGATCTATATGTCAGTTATATAAAACAAATATTGAGTGGCTTTAAATTGTGAAATGGGAGGAATATTATCGCTCGGTAAAATCTGGACTTTTCCAGTTCACTCGGCTTCGCCTCGTGAAATGGAAAAGTCCAGATTTTACCTTGCGATAATATTCCTCCCATTCCACGCTGAGCCACTCAATATTTGGATAACATTAAGTTTTAGAAGACTCTCAGAACATGAGAGGTTTGTTCTGATGGCTCAGCATTAGTTAAAAAAAAAAATTACAGCTGGACTTAAGAGGAAACATCACATTCCTGATAGGGGATCAGTATGCACTGTAATAGTATCAGAATTATGTCAGATGAAAACCTTTATCTTGGAGTACTTGCCATTGGAGATCCAAAATGCAAATTTTAGTCAGAGTTTTTAGTAGTTCTGATGCCTATTGGGTAGAAAAATACTAATTATGATAATTTAGTCCCCAAAAAATCATGCCATAAAATGCTGAGATGGGTCGGACAATGTGGGTGCCAATGAGGAATTCAACGTGATGAAGATAAAATGACCATGTTTCAACATGAGTGATAATATTTACCAACATAAATTGCACATATCATCATTAATTAACGAATGCCACGTGACCTTCAATCCTGCAATCAAATGACAAGGATTTACTTGGGTGTTACATTAATCGAACTATTGCACGACCTACATCATAACCGTGCATTTTTGGTTCCATTCACCGTGCATTTATGTCCCATCCCTTTTGATCTATTGCACGCCGCACGCACTCTAAGACGTACCAAAGTGTGACGTCATTTAGAACTGGGAAGTGAAGTGCAAACGAATGGAGTACGCGGGCTGTTGGTTTATGGCCGAATCACCCGCTTAAATGTCTTTTACACACAAAATTGTTCTCATAATTCTCATGTACATGTACTTCATTTACCTGTCTCTAATAATAGACATAATTTCCAGCGCCTTGAGTACCTAATTGTTGGTACATACATGTGCTATATAAGACTTCTGTATTATTATTATTTACTTGGGTACTCTATACGATTGTTGCGCTATTTAGACCATATCATGCATTATAGCAGTACAAAACTTGCCTTTGAAGTTAATGCAGTTGCCTTGATGATTTGCTTGCATTGTTTTAAGAACTTACAATGTAAATTGTCATCATTGTCAATGATTTGACTTTTAAACCTTTGTTAGCCTTGAACAAGCTGAAAAAAGTAGTGGATATGATTCAATTTTGTGAGTTTTGTTTGTTCTTAAAGTTTTATCCAATCGAATGACAAAGATCTACTTGGATGTTATATAAAACAAATAATGAATGTTTTGCATTCGTGCAATGGTGAGAATATTTTCATTCGTTGAAAGAGGGAATGTTCCATTCAACTTGGTTTCGCCTCGTTGAATGGTACATTCAATCTTTCAACTCATGAAAATATTATCATATATCACATATCATACTTATCAATGTCTGAGCTAGATCAGAAACAAATCCAGGTAGAATTAAAACTACCGGTATGTGCTAATATTATTACAAGAACAGTCCTATTCCCGTTTTAACTTCAATCTTAAATAATCAGTAGATAGGGCCTACCTTTTTTCTTTTATTCCTGGCAATTAGTCTTGCTGTCTTTGTAAATGCTTGTACATTGTCCATGTTGATTCCTGATATATTTGCCTGTCATTGTTCCTATCAGTGTTGTAATTTGTGTGTGTGTATTAATTTCATTTCATTTATTTATATTTTCATTTTTTTAATGTCTTAATTCATGTACATGTATTTATATTAATTTTAATATTTTTACTGATTTGTAAAAAGAAACACAATTCGGCCCCTAGCTGCAAGGTCTCTTTTGATTATTAAGAATAATCCATTAATTAATTTATTAATAATACTTATTATTCTAGATCTGACAAGGCATATGTCCAAACATTATCAATCATTGTCCATTTGTTGACGAAA